GTGGTGCACACCTTTAATCCCAGCACTTGGGAGGCAGAGGCAGGTGGATCTCTGTGAGTTCAAGGCCAACCTGGTCTACACAGCGAGTTCCAGGACAGCTGGGGCTACAGGGAGACCCTGTCTCAAAAAGAACAACAACAAAAAAAATGTACAGGTCTCCATGTTTCCAGTGTGGTGCTATAGGCTAACTTTTTCTGAAACCTCTGCCTTCCACATTTGTTCCAAGATGGTCTACAAATCCCCTGTTTGACCAAGGTTGGGGGTGGGGAGCAGTGTCATCCTCTTATGACACCCATGAGTTTCCCCGTGAATTCCTGCTTGTCCTCTGACATTGAGAGGGACAACAGCACACTCTCTGCCCGCTGACTCATGGTACCTGACTTTTACAGCAGGCTCAAGCTCAGTTCCTGCCCCAAACTTGACAAGAATGCTGCCTGGGGTTGAGCCACCAATAGCTCCCTGGCTTACAGGCCAGGTTTTGGTGTGGTTCCTTCCTCCTGTGACCTGGGCCTGACTCGCTGTCCCAGCGCCCCGTCTTCCAATAACAGGCAAGGGGGACAGCCAGTCCATCTGCTAGGTAACCCAAGGCCCAGCTCTTCTAAACTGCCCTCCTCCAGTGGGAAGATCTGGCAGAAATGAGGAAGGATCCGCTGCTTCTACCTGAGCCCCCTTGCACTCCAGTCCTAGATGAGCAGGACCTTTCTTCCTAGTTCAGATTTAATGTAAGGCAGAATTTGGGAGGGTGCCCAAAGATGAATGGATTGGAGCCAGTGCCTCAGGTGCTGAAGGAACCAAAAGGGGCTCCTGGATGTCTAAACGTGTGTTGGTGGCACGCCCTGCTGGTAAGAGAGAATACTGCACCTTGTGTCAAGGCCACACAAAGCCGGGGGCCAACTCTACAGAAGACCTCTGGCTGGATGCCTGGTCTGAAAGAGCTGGCAGCTCTGAGTGAGTGCTAATTCTTTCTGAAAGACTGCTCTGGTGCTCATGCCCAGGGCTCCTGGAGCACCTAGCAAAGTGCTTTTCTTGAGCAGACCATCCCCATAAAAACACTCCTCCCCACCAATCTGCCACGTCTCCCATTGCAGGGTAGGGGACTCAGACTACTGGCCCAGTAGAGACCCAATCAGTACTGCACCAACAACACAAGAATGAGAAGGCATCCAGTGTGAACAAGAGAAAAGATGAGCAGCAGAGCCAGCCAAAAGGAGGGTGGCGAAGGTGACCAAAACATAATGGTGCTTCAGGGCAGGTCACTGGAGGTGAGAGACGCCATGAGCTAAGACCCAGTTAATGGTACTGGCTGTCCGAGGTTTCCCTCCAGTGGCCTGGTGTGAAGGGCAGCAGGATGCTGGGCAAGCATGTCAGGGCTACGTGGCCCAAAGCCTGTAGCATAGAATGGCCTGAGGTGACCATGAGAACAGAGGAGGAAGCTGCCCACGTACTTCCAGACCTGGCTCCAACACTGAAACCTTGTATGGCCTCTGCCCCAGAAACACACGTCAGCTTTGGCTTGGGCCTCACTGCCTCCCTTTGAGTCCCAAAATTCGATGACAGTTCTCTCTCACACACACACACCCCAATCAGGCTTCTATCATCCAGGCCACACAATGGGGTCTAACAGAGCAGAGAGAGAAGGATGACCTTCTCCATTAGAACTCTGTCTGGGGCCTACCCCTGAGTGGGGTGAGAGGGGCTGGAACCACTTGAACCAGAGGATAGGCCACAGATCTTCACACCAGAAGTCACTCATCAGCACTCCTGGGAGTTTCACCTGTCTTGTCAGTCCCAGGTCAACAGACCTGCAGCACACACTTTCACAGTCCTAGCATGGAAGAGGTGTGCAGACCCCTGGGGCCCTCTGGATAGAGAGAAGGTATGCACTAGAGTGCAGAGAAGGGAGAGAGTAGGAGAAGGCAGCAGCAGTAAACAAAACAGCTACCCCAAATTCTGGTCACACTCCACACAACCCCAAGGCCTTCCCAGCCCCGGGCATCTCCACAGCCTTAGGGACCTGGAGCATTGCTGCTGGGGGTGCCTGCCACCTCCTGACATCGTCCCCTGCTGGCAACCCAGGAGACCATGTTGGCAGCCATTTTCTCTCAGACCCAGGGCAGCCAAGCAGCTTCTTGCTGGCTGGCACTGCGGAGGACAGTAGAAAGAACTTCTTGGACAATCCGGAGCAATGTCATGATCCCAGCAAGGACAGGTGCAGGGGATAGAGCGGAAGACCCAGTGGCAAGTCCACGGGCAGTGCGCCTGCTTCCTTCAGGTCCTTTCCTGAGTTGACCCTCAACCCCACAACCACCCCCCACCCCCAGCTCAGCACCAGGCAATTGCTCTGTCCGTCTTTATTGGTTGGCATGGGGGGGGGAACCAAAGGGGGCTGGAGGGCCACAACACAAGCAGGACCACCCACAGTCAGCAAAGCACAGAACAGCCACGCGGGTGCATGTGTGCGTGCACAGTGCAGGAAGGATGCCCCCCGAGTCCGCCTGCCAATACCTCCTCAGCTTCCAGAGAGGATAGCAGGAACAGGGGAGGGGAGTCTCTACCCCAGGTGAGGGTAGAGCCTTGGGGACAGACTGGGGTACCCCCCTGCCCCAGCACCATGCACCACACCCACAGTCTCAAACTTTCCAGCAGAGGCCAGCCCAGGGGAGACAAGGAGTGGGAAAGGGGTCCAAAAGGGCCTGAGGGAAGAAAAGCTGGGGCGTCAGTCCACTTGGTCGTCCTTGGCATCCACCTGGAGTGGAGGAGAGGAGAAAGAAGTAGATGGAAAGGGGTGTCATGCGGTTTTCCTTTCTTAGAGGCTTCAGGGGACACAAACGCCCCCATCCCACCAGCTGTCCCCTCACCCAGCTTCTCTTCCCCTGGCACACTGCCCTCGGCACACTGCTTTCAACCCTCCAGACTCCACGTAGCTCCTGGCACACAGAGCATCACCACCCTCTAGGCTTCCCAAGAAGCCAGCTCCCAGAGGGTATGGGGTCCCCACACACCTGGGTGTCACCACTTGTGGGGCTGGCTAGTCCCGAGGCCTGGGTGGCTGTGACGGGTCATACCCAGCCGGGAGGTCTCCTCACCCTCTGGGCTCTGCCCCAGTTTACGGATGTGGCGCAGGAACGAGGTGGCATTGAATGCTCGCTGTGGGAAGAAAGTGAGGTTAGGCCAAGTCAGGCCCAGCATCATGACCTGTTCCAAGGACTTCAGTGGCCACACCTTGAAGCAAAGGCATGCACACCTTCCAGTGGGTCCGGGCAAAATTCTTCTGGATCTGCTCACTGACAGAGCCCAGGATGTCTTTGTCCAAGGCCGCATCCCCAGAGATCCTAGAGGAAGGTTGAGAGTCAGTGCATGTCTCTTCAGCCCCTATGCTACCTGCCAGTCATCCCACTCACCAAAGATGTTGTAAGGCCTGTTGGCAGGTGAACCTCTTCTGAGGGTCGCGCTCCAGAAGGTGTCGGATGAAGTCTTTGGCTGGAGCAGGGGACAAGGTCAGTTTACACAGTCTGTGGGAGCCCTTTGCCACTCCCCAGTACAGGGTTAGGACCCTAACCCTTGCACTCACCTGATTCTGAGATGTCATCCCAAAAAGGAGAGTCAAACTCATAGCTGGCCCTCAGAATCTGGCTGAAGAGTTCAGGGTCGCTCTCATCGTAGAAGGGGGGGTACCCACACAGCCTGGCACCCACAGATGAATCACCCAGCTGTCCACCCCTCCCCAACCCAGCAGGGGCAGGCAGGTAGGAGTTGAGCCGTCCCAGCGGTCACTCACAGGATGTAGGAGATGACACCCAGGGCCCACACATCTACGGCCTTCCCGTAGGGTTTCTGCTCCAGGAGCTCTGGGGCTGGCGGCCAGAGGCAGACAGACAGACAGGCACGTCTGCACATGCACACACACATGTGCCCTTGAGGGCCACCTGGTGTATCTATTCAGCCCCAGGAGTAGACTGCCGCAGGCAGCAGCTGCCCTAGACTCTGGAGCCTTGGCATCCCCAGGGTCCCCGGCCCCCTCCAACCCTATGATGAGACTCAGAGCACTCTCCCTCTTACCCACATATCCTGGGGTCCCACAAGCTGTGCCTAGCATGTTGCCAGCTTGTATTTTGGACAGGCCAAAGTCAGAGACCATGATCTTGGAGTCTTCAAAGGGGGTAGCATAGAGGAGGTTTTCAGGCTGTTGACACATGGGGTCAGGGAAAAGACTGTATCAGTCCCAGAATTACTAGGGTACTGGGACAGGGTAGGACTCAGCACCGTCAAGTTCCACAGACCCTCATGGAAATGGATGCTGGGAAAGGAATAGGCCTGATGGGGTGGGAACAGGGGGTGTCACATCATGGCCAGGCACCTTAAGGTCCCGATGCACAATGCCCAGGCTGTGCAGGTAGGAGACAGCACCAAGGACCTGCCCCACGAGATGGCTGGCATCCTTCTCTGTGTAGGAGCCCCGCTCCATGATTCGGTCAAACAGCTCACCACCTGTCACCCTGGGGGAGGGGGCATGGCAGGAGATCAGCTGACCAAGGCATAGAGCCTGGGCTTTGCCCCCTCCTGTGAATCCCCCCCCCATCAGCCTTCCTCACAGCTCCATGGCCAAGTAGAGGTGGGAAGGGCTCTCATGGACATCCTCCAGAGCAACAATGTTGGGGTGGCTGATCCTGCAACAAGGAAAAATGGCTCCTTGTGGAAGGCTTCATCTGGAAGAACTGTCCTGAGCCCCTACCTTCTTTTCTGCCATCATTTCCTCCCCACTGTCTTCCACCCCTCCCCCCACTGTTCTGCTGCTAGCCCAGGCCTTCTGAAGAGCGCACACTTCTGAAGGCCATTTACAAAGCACAGATGGATAGAGTGCCTCTAATGTTGCCATGGAGACATGCAGACTCAAAGGGGAAGAGGCACAAGGCCTCCCTGCGGGTTGGCAGCCAGGCTTGGTAGAGTCCACAGACTCAGCCTGAGGCCACAGGGGTCTTAAGGTCCAAGGGCAGGTGGTCACACCTGCGAAGCACAGCGATCTCATTTTCCACTAGGGCCTCCTTGCCCCGCAGCGCTTTCTTGGGGATGCACTTGAGAGCCACAAGGTGTGCAGAGCCCCTCTCCTGGGCCAGCATCACCTCGGAGAAGGCACCCCTGCAGCACAGCCAGATGATGGGAGGCAAGAAGGGAGGGGGTGCCAGTGAGAGCAGGGGAGAGAACAGAAATGGGAGCCCCTTGGGTGAACCATACACTCTACCACACACACCTACAAGTGTGCACACGCAAATCCCCATGCCACGTCACACACTCACCAACGTTCACATACCACCTCCCACACAGACATCGACACCTCTCAAAAGTCACTCCCATGTTGACCTGTTAATACCATACACATCTTTCACATGCTCTTCACACATTTACTCACATGTGCACACCCCTCACATATGTAAGCGTTCCCTCCCACAGCCCAGGGTGCACACTCACGAGCCCAGCTTCTCTCGGATCTCATAGACACTGCTGATGTCCTCCGTCTGTTTCTTGAGCAGCAGCATGTCTGGAGGGGGTGGAGTGAGTCCCCTTGGCAACCTACAGCTCCCTCACCGGCCAAGCCAGATCGTACCCCCACTTGGAACCGAAAGACCCCAGTCGCCAGCCCAGCTACACGTCGCCCCTCCCCCCAGGGCCAAGGCCACACTCCAAGACAGCCGCCGTATGCGCGCCTCCCGCCCAAGTACGACACTACCAGTCCGTGCTCCCCCGACCCCTGCTCCAGCACCTAAATGGCCACCAACTAGGACACCCCCTTTCTGCCTCCGTACATTGACCCAGCACTATTGGCTGTTTTCCAGAAGGCTCTATGCACTTCCACCCTGGCTCATCCAGGCCCACCTCCATCCACAAGGCCCACGCCCCTCCCCCATCGGACCTGCCAACATGGCACAGCGCCACAGGCACGCACCACCGACTAGGCCACCAACCCGCCCGAATGCACCTGCGACCCAGCTCTCAGCCTCCTCTCGCGACCACAGCCACCCACGCGGTTGCCCAGCCGCTACCGGGCCACTGGCGCCTGGGAGAGGGGTGGGACTCAGCCGCCCGCGTCCCGCCCGAGCTGCGTGGGTCGCGTGCGTGCGGGCAGGGGGCGCACCGAGCGTGACAGGTGTGCACGGGGGCGTGCGGAGCTCCCTGGCCTAGACCCTGTACGCCCCCGCCCGTCCTCCAGTTCTCCCCCAGTCCCAAGCAGCAGGTGCGGACCTGGAGCGGATGCCACAGCGTCGCGTCGCGCAGCGGCTCCCGCGCCAAGCCCCCCGCCCGCACCCCGTCGGCCCCGCCCCCTCCGCGCGCGCCCCCGCCGGCCGCTGGCGGCCGAGCACGCGGTGGCCGAGCGGCCGCAAAGCTGCAGGGCGCCTTGTAAGGCAATTCCTGGTCTCTGGCCACCACTGCCTTGCTCCTTGGTTATGTTTGCTGGTTCCTGGAAGCCCCACTACCGTCCGGGCCCACCGAATGCCCCCAGGGCCTTTGCACCACCGGTGACTTCGTCTAGAACTACATCCATACTTGGTGTTACTGTCTAGCTTCCCAGTTCTCTTTTAATCGCCTGTCCACAAACCGGCCATCCAGACCATTTGGGGTACAGCAGCCTCCTTTTCCTAGACCCCACCGGCTTCTAGCAAGCCTGAAGCCACCACCCTAGCGGCCTCCGACTGCCTCTACCCTCACCTCCTGACCCTTCTGCTCAGTGAGGTCAGGTCGCCCCAGGCGCCACAACATGCCACTCCCTGCCAGAGTCTTTGCAGGGTCTGATGACTCTTTAGCCGCTCTTCTCCTCCCACTCCTCGGTCTTCAGCCGTGCGTGCACGGCCCCCTGGCTTTTGCATGCAATGACCCTCTGCCCAGATGTCTTCTCAGCTCAGCCCTCACCCCATTAATCGGTCTGGCATGCTGCCTCCTCACACAGGCCTCCCTTGCCTCTGCCTGCCAGTTTTCTAGGACATGACCCTGCCCCCTCTTCCGAACGCACATCATGGCAAATCACCTTTTGTCAGGTCTTCCTCACCAAAGCACACACTCCCAGAAAGTGTCTCTGTTAGCTGAGGTAAGGCACTCGGGGAACACTGAAGTCAGCCTTAACCCAACAATTAGCAACAATTAGAGGGCTCCCCTACACGGTTCCAACCACATCCAGTCCCATCATAGTTGGGGTGGAGGGCAAAGGAGGGACTACTGGCTGTCACAAGAGCACATCCAGATAAGCCTGTCACAAGGCCTCTGCCAAGTCACATGGACGAAGGCTATCTTGGTGGCTCTGGTCTTCAGAGCTCCTGCACATAGACCTGGCCCAGGAGCTGCTTCCGGTTCCCTGAAAGCGGGGCCCAATCCTGCCTGCTCAGGTGTCCTTGAAAGGAAAGGAGAGGGTGTGGCAGATAAGTGCTACTTTTGTAAAGATCCACGAGCCCCAGAATTTCTCACACTCTGATGTTGCTCTGCTTAAGACAAAGGAAGAGTCAGGATCAGAGCGTGATGGAAAACAATAAAATAAAATAATGGCTATTCTGAAAATGCGCCATTCCACAAATGTATCTCGCATGCTTGTGTCATGAGTGTGGTTTCTAATTGAAGACTGCCACTTGGACAGAGACAAGCAGGGATGCCTTGAAAGCACCAGATGTCAACTGGAGGCTCATCTCCTGAGTTGGAGATGGAGATGGTATCAGTAGATAAGGCAATTTTGTTTCTTTTGGAGTTTCAGATTTTCTTTTCAGTTGTTGTCCTTGGTATTTCTTTGTGTGTATCCTAGGCTGGTATCAAACTCACTATGAAGCAGAGAATGACCTAGAACTGATCTTCTTACCTGCACCTCTCCAGTGCTAAAGTTATAGGTGTTCACCCCCAGGCCCCATTTACACAATGCTGGAGGTAGAACCCACGGCTTTGTGTGTGCTAGAACAGGATTCGCTACTGACTGAGCTACATCCCCAGTCCTCATGGAGCAATTTTGTTACATCTGGCCTCATGTGAAAAATCAAATGCAGTCCTGGATACCTGAGAAGCTGGCAGCCCAAGGGTTCAAGAGCAGCTGGAGCAACATGCTGAGACCCCATTTATTAAAAAAAAAAAATATCAAAAGCTGGGTGTGGGTGCAGTCCTGCCATCCCAGCATTTGTGAAGTGGAGGCAGGAGGCTCCAGGTCAGCCTCAGTTATATGAGACCCTGTCTCAAAAAAGATGATATCCCAGTTTTTGTTTGATACCAGTATTTAGTAAGTATTTCACTTGCAACTGTTTAGACAGCCACTGAAATACTGTAGATGTCAACTTCAAAATACATGTGTGGGGTGAATGTCGGTGGTAGTAAATATAGAGCTAGCTTTCAGAATGCCTTACACAAAAATCAACCCAAGGGACTGGAGAGATGGCTCAACTGTTAAGAGCATGTGGGTGCTCCTGCAGAGGACCCAAGTTCAGTTCCCAGAACCCAAATCAGGCAGCTCACAACCACCTTCTTCTGGCCCTCTGGAGCACCTGTACTCACATGTGTTTCTCTCTCTCTCTCTCTCTCTCTCTCTCTCTCTCTCTCTCAAAAATCAACTCAAAATGAGTCATAGACCTAAATACAAAATGTCAAAGTATAAAACTTCAAGAAGAAAATAGAGAAGACAATCTGAGTTACTTTGGGGTTGATAATTTCTTAGATCAATCATGAAAATATGACCTGCGAACAAAGAAAATTATGTTGTACTGTAACAAAATTTAAAATGTGTACTCTGCAAACAGCACAAGTAAGAGAATGAGTCAGACTTGATGGTACACATCTGGTATCCCAGCTCTTGGAGAGTGAATGTAGGATGATGGAGAATTGGCATCCAGCCTCAGATACACAGTGAGATGGTGGGGAGATGCAGGGTGCATATCTAATAAAGGATTATTATCTGAGGTCAGTGGCTCAACAGTTAAGAGCAAGTACTGTTCTGAAAGACTGTGAAAGACCAGAGCTCAATTCCCAACACCCACATCAGGCTGCTCAGAAGTGCCTGTAATTCCAGCTCCAGGGAATCCAACACCCTGTTCTGGGCTCCACAGGCACCCACATGCCCATGCACAACCCCCCCCCATATACATAATTAAAAATAAATCTTTTCTTAAAGGACTTCTGGGGCTGGAGAGACAGCTCAGTAGTTAAGAATACTTACTGCTCTTGCAGAGGACCTGAGTTCAGCTCCCAGCACCCACATGGAGGCTCACATCCATTTGTAACTCTAGTTCCAGGGGATCCGACACCCTCTTGTGTCTCAGAGGGCACTAGGCATGCACGTGGCACACACACACACACACACACACACACACACATAGGCAGCCAAAACATTCAATTACATAAAATAATTTTTTTTACAGGGCCTCACTTTGTAGCCTTGGCTGGCCTGGAATTCACTATGTAGACCAGCCTGGCCTCCAACTCACAGAGATCTGCCTGCCTCTGCTACTGAGTACTGGGGTTAAAGGCATATGCCCAACTGAAACAAATATTTTTTTAAAGGACTATTATCCAAAATATGCAGAGAACTCAAATAGGAAAATGGACAACCCAATTTTTAAAATGGGCAAAAGATCTGAAAAGACAACTTGCCAAAGAAATGCAACAGGCAAATATGCATATAAAAAGTGTTTAACGCCATATCTCATTAGGGAATTGCAAATTCAAAACACAAGATGCTCTTAGACACCCCTTAGAATGACCAAAACCCAACACTGATAACACCTGAAGTGGCGGGATGTAGGGCAAGGCGACCTTCATCCACTGCAGGTGCAAAGAAAAACTGAAAGAGCCAGTTTGGAAGACAGTGTGGCAGGCTTTTGTTTCTGTCTTGTTCTAATATTTTATTATTTTTATTTCATGTGTATGAGTGTATTGCCTGAATGTATCCAAGTGTACCCATGTCATGCAATGCCCACGGAGGCAGGAGAGGGTGTCGGACCCCTGGAGCTGGAGTTACAGATGGTTATTACCTACCATGTGAGTGCTGGGAATAGAACCTCGGCAAGAACAGTCAGTGTTCTTTAACCTCTGAGCCATCTCTCCAGGCACCTATTTGTGGCTTATTTTGTTTAGTTTAGCTTTTTTTTTTTTTTTTTTGAGACAGACTCTCATTGGGTAGCCCAGGCTGACCTCAAACTTGCATCAATCCTCATGCTTCAGCCTCCCCAAGTGCTTGGATTCTAGGTGTGAGCGAATACCACACACACACACACACACACACACACACACACACACACAATTTCTTTTTCTTTTTCTGGAGGGGGGGTCTTTTTCAGCTGGCCTAGAACTCGCTGTATAGACCAGGCTGGATTTGAAATCACAGAGATCCACCTGCCTCTGCCTCCCAAGGGCTGCCACCATGCCTGATTACACATTGGCAATTTCTTACAAAGCTAAATTTACTTTTACCACACAGTCCAGTAATGAGTCTCCTTGGAATTTTGTTGAGCCAGGCATAGTGGCACATGCACTGGAGAGGTAGAGGCTGGAAGATCAAGAGTTCAAGGTCATTCTCAGGTACCTATCAAGTTTGAGGACAGCCTGGGATAAATGAGACCTGGCCCCCTCCCAAACAACAACTGCAATAACAACATATTCTTTTTTAATATTTTATTTATTGTTTTTATTTTATATGTATGCATGTATTGCTTGCACGTAGGTAAGTGCACCCGTGTCGTGCCACTTGCAGAGGTCAGAAGAGGCTGTCAGATCCTGGAACTGGAGTGAGGGACAGTTGTTAGCTGCCATGTGGGTGCTGGGATTCGAACCCAGGTCTTCTGAAAGAACTGCCAGTGTTCTTAACCGCTGAGCCATCTCTCCAGCCCCAACAACTTATTTCTTAAGTGAAATAAGCCAGTGAGAACCAGCCAGCTATGATATGAATCCATTTATAAAGTATTCTAGGAAAGGCAAAACTATAGATACAGGAATAAGATCAGCAGTTACCACGGGAGTGAGGGGGACAGTTTGACTAAGGGAAGCCTAGGGGATTTTGAGGGTAGAAAAACAATTCTGTGTGACACTGTAATGGGAGATAGCTGACACTCCCCAGAATTGAAAGCCCTTGCTGGCAGAAGAACTTGATGG